GTATATGTATATATGTATATGTGTATATGTTTATGTATATGTATATGCGTATATGTATATGTACATATGTATATGTATATGAATATGAATATATATGTAAATGTATATGTATATGAATATGAATATGAAGATGAATATATATGTAAATGTATATGTATATGAATATGAATATGACTATGAATATGAATATATTTGTATATGTATATATGTGTATATGTTTATGTATATGTATATACATGTATATGTATATGCGTATATGTATATGTACATATGTATATGTATATCTATATGTATATGTATATACATGTATATGTATATGAATATGAATATGACTATGAATATGAATATTAATATGAATATATATTTATATGTATATGTATTTGTATAAGTATATGTATATGTAAATGTATATATAAGCATACGTATATATAAGTATATGTATATGTAAATGTATATGTATATGTAGATCTATATGTGTATATGTATTCGTATAACTTCGTATAATGTATGCTATACGAAGTTATTACGATATACACATATACATATATATACATATACTTATACGTAATAACTTCGTATAGCATACATTATACGAAGTTATACGATACATATACATACATATATATACATACATACATACATACATATATATATATATTCCATATGTAATGTATCCCTCACCTCTTCATTGTAAAGAAATTAACCTGCATGGCAGTCACTATAAGACTTACTGAGAGAGTAAATTGAGCTAACTGAGATCATAATGATTTCAATATAACTTAGTAATAACTGTTGAAGATATCAGGTAAAAAACAATATGCATTGCCATTCACACAGAGATACTTCAGAAAACCTACACTTGCAGAAATAGTGATTGTTTACAAAGAGATCATGAGGCAAAGCCAAACTACCACCATATCTTTGATTCCCCACACCATGCAATGTGTAACATAACACCTTTTTTTGCACTTGACCATTTAACAGATTTCACCATTTTACACATTTCTGGAGTGAATGCATGGATGGATACACATGCCCATATATATAGAGATAGATGGAGTGACAAATGAATATATAGATATAGATACAGAGAAGCAATTTTATGTCAAAAAGATTTAACATGAGATATCTGTTCAAATGATCTTGGGATTACCATCATACAGCCACAGGCAGGAGACTCCTGCCACAATGTTTGCAATACGCTTAACTGTATATGACTCTAAAAGCTGTCTATAAACTTAAATAAAATTGAGAGAATAAAAGACTAGTCTGAATGCCCTGACAAATGGCTTAATCCCTCAGCAGCAGTTACCTTCCACTGATATCTGCATGGGAAATATCCTTACCTATGGTTATATCAGGTCGTCTGGTGCAGAGGGGCTAATACTTAATTCTTAAGAACTTAATTCTTTAAAATACTTTCAATGGTCTGTCTACTTTTAGGCATTAATCATTCTAATGCAATTATGCATTATAGAAATCTACAGATCATGAGTTTGACTCACTACATATAAATATCATTCCATAATTCCTTTTCATTCGCAATGCTGATTATGTATTGAAGCTACTATATATAATTCTACTTATACTGATTCTCTCTATCACAGCACTATAAATCTTGATCTGATTTCTACATATCCAGCCCTACTTTGTTTCCTTAACAGAACAAGGCAAACTCTATCATTCTACATGCATAATGTATACATCATCTAAATATATATATACAGCCAATATACATTTACCTACAACACTTTCATCCTGACTGATACTTTTAAAAGCATGTACCATTTAATAACTTTATCTCTCAGTTTTAACCACTACTTTAATGCTAACATAGCAGTTGAATCATTTTGGTCCTGTATGTTCCTTGGCTGCTGACTGTAAAGATGAAGCATAATACTGAATTTCTTTGTTGCAAGCATCAACCATTAGATCTTCCTTATGCCATGCTTAATATCCATTACTACATAATAATACCAGATACACTACAGACCATTATATTCCTGATACATTACATGAATTATATACTTAGTAGTTTCTGAATGTCACTTTCTTACACTCCATTCCAAGAATCAAAATCAAGAGGAAGAATAAAATCTACAGGAAGACATTATCCAATATACAATGATAATTTAGTAAAATAACATGAAACCCAGTAAAGTTCCTGTAAATACCATTATTACCATTCAGTAGCATCCAACATCTAACACCAAAATATCTTATTGTATAACAACAAAAAGAAATAACAATAACGGTAATAACAAAAACCTGAATGCAGTATTTGATTATGAGATTCATGTAATGGGCTCAAAGTAGAAAATGATGTGTACAAACTTTCTATTGTATTTTAACACCATTTTAGATCTAAAAGTTAATGGTAATGGTTATTTCATACCATACACCACTTCACCCTTTTATAATACCCTGTGTATGCAATATCATCATGTCATAAAATAACTTGTTTCTTGAGAAGGTCACTGACCAAGGCACACACACAAATCACTAACACAGAAATAAAATAACTTCAAATTCACAATCATTAGAGATCACAATAGAAGTCACCCTCCATTTTCCTTTGGCATTGCTCACAAAATAAAATGAATAAATAAATAAAATAAAAAATCAACAATGAAATTAGAACCTTTTCCAGAGTGAAACTGCAATGGCTGTCAGACCCAGCCTCAGTGGACCATTGAGCAGTAGGCTGTCAAGAAATACCCAAGAAAGGATGCTTGGCAATTGCAGGAGGACTATCAGCATCATGCAGAAAGTAACCCAGCATCCGCACCGGTGTCTAGCTGACTCCAAGCTACAAAAAAAAAAATCATACAAATCAGAAATGGGCACTCATAAATAATACATAATGTACAAATAAAAACATGCATACAAAAATGAATATGGGAGTAAAAATACAACCTTGATGAAATAAAAATTCAGATACTGATAAGCAAGGAATGTAGCAGTAACAAGTTATGAAATCAAGAATAAATGAAATGCTTACTTATTTTGCAAGAGTTCTCTATGAAAAAAACAATGTCCATTATAATAATTTTAGTCTTGCATATATTACCTCTGACTGAATTATTTTTTATACCAAGTTATTCTTCTCAATGTTCCCTACAAAGGCTAGTAAACTGAAAAGTTTCAAAGGTAAACTTGTTGCCTTTTTAACATTACAAATAATTTGTTATCCCACTGCCAAAGAGTGCAGAGGTACATGTACATTTTGTTTTATAATATTTTAAGTATTTATTTAGCTAATCTCATTTTCATCTTTTTTTTTTTTCTTTTTTTTTTCATAAACAGTCTTTCATGTACATGGCAAGCAAAGAGCTGATTACAAATCCTATCTGACATCAGCAATTTAACTCATACCTTGAAATGCAGGAAGAATTATTTCATATCTATTGCTAATGATATTGTTTACATTAACAACTAGTACGAATAATAATATCAATACTTTTAATAACAGTAAGAAAACCTTTTTCTTATTCAAGGAATGCAGCAAATAGATGAGACGACGTAGGCCTAATACCTGACTTCTTGATAACAAAGTGATCCCATCTGTTTAGAAACAATAAAGATAGAACAGAACCACAGAGGAGATTGAATGCGCCAAGTTTAAATGGCGTAACCCTATGCTGAAGGGTGCTTCGCTCACCATACTGTCTAGTATGGTGAGCGAATGCCATCAAAAGGAAAGAATTAGAAGCATGGGAAACAAAATTTTCTACACTGTAAAACATTGGCTGCACATTACAAGAGTTTCCTGTGAACTAGGCTAAAAAGTGACTTTCAGCCTACTTTTGTGGACCTGTAAATCCTCAATCACTGCAGTCATGGCCAAACACAAATTGCACACAAATTTGAGGAGGCTCAAATAGGCACAAATGGCCTATTCCTACATGCCATCCATTGGCAAAGGGTTAATAAAGAAATGAGATGATAAAATAACAAGTGCTCAAATATTTTCTTTTCTTGCCTTTGTTCGTAAATGCGAAAAGAAAAAAAAAGGGGGGGGGGATAATGGTAAACTTTACATATAAACTATCATAAGAGAATTTTGCCCATCTCAAACAGCAGCTGAGAAATGGTTTATAAACTTTGGAGACCACATGCAACAAGAACTTTTATAGATCACATATCTACAGAAAAAATAACAGCATATTTTCAGATTACATAAAAAATATATATGATTCCTTTCAAATGGCTACACAAGAAGTGCAAACAAAAATACAAAACCCCAGACATCTACAACCAATTTTTTTTCTCTCTTCCTATTCACCAAATATCTTAATAATACAATATACAAATACTTCTTTTTTTAAGTTATATAACTATTAAAACTAAATCTATTAAAATCACTCACCTTATTCCTTTTTTCATCATAACTAAAATAAAGACAGGTAGCTGTAGAGTGACCCACTGAAATAGAATGTGAAATCCTTCGTTATACAATACACAAAGACAGTTCCTTATCCAAATGTACTCTGGACAAACAATTTACAAGAAAACACGGAATAAGTATTATTCAAGTGTGGAAAATTGTTACATATTATCTGATTATCCACACAAGGAAAACATTTCACCTTTATCTTAATTGAAACAGAAATCTTACACAGGAAATAATCTATTGAGGAAAACCAGGACACACAACAATTTTCTAAAGTTCTGAGGTCCTTTTTTTTCATATGATGGATTACAAAAAACACGTACATCAACTTAAAGATCAAACAATATGTCCATTACTTTAAATGAGACATAGGAAATGAACTTTATCATAAATCTGCTTTTACTAATAAACAGTACTTGAATTTCATTACATTCTACTAAGAAAATATGCTGTACTAACAGAATTCAGAGTATTACAGTACACTGGATTGTTGATATTTGCTAATACTTGGATTTCATTACACTCTTCTTTGAAAGTATGCTATACAAAAAGAATTTCGAGTATTACTGTACACTCGGCAGTTGATATTTCCTAATTATCAAAAACTTTTCTTTTAATGGTCATGCCTACAAAGAAAGAAAAAGAGTTGCAGGACATCTTTTTTAAAACTGTTCTATTTAAAGATAAACTATGACATTCCTTTTCTTTTTAATGGATCAAACTTTGAAGATGTGAAAAGCATAATCTACAACATATTTACTAGAAATCCCACACAAAAAGTTCTCCCACACTAAATTCATATAGTATGCAAAATAGGCATGATAACATTACCAGGAAGAAGGCATCAGGATATGTTAATTCTCCTGGCAGAGCAGAGGAGTCCACAAAAATGCCCCACATGAACACAACACCATATTTATCCCCAGCAAGGCGGCCAATATACCATGGTCCTGGAAAGCAAACCACAATTTCTCCTGTCATATAATAAAATAGCTGGCAGGTAAGCATCACAGATTCAATAAACCTTTTTACTTGGCAAATGCAATATCAGAGAAACTTACCAATGAGAGGATAAAAAAGAAAGATAAGTAGATGGACAAACACCACATGGTTGTGAGCCAGACCTGATGCAGCGCACATCAACTTCTTTGGAATCACTGGTTGGCAAAAGACTGTCAAAAAAAGAGAACAAAAATATATATCTATTGGAAATGATAAAGCTCAGGTCGTTTTACAGAAAGATTAGCCATCTAAATATCACTTTTTACTTAACTTCACTCAAATCAGGTTAATATGGCCTTCACTTTATCTGTAATACATCTAAATTATGGATACTTGAGATTAGTAATCACATGTGCCACAACCTTTTCTTGTTACTAATCCTAAAGCTATCTGCATCAAGAGTGCTTTGAAAAGAAGGCAATAAGAGTATCTCACTACAGTAGATACCTAATTCATACAGTGACATGGATTTTCCAATTAATTCTGAAATTCTTAGACACGAACAGCCTGAAAGTGAGGTCTGAACACAAAACCATATCTTATTGGTCTGTGATTTTTCAGCGGTGAACCACAATTTACATGTATTGATTGCAAATATGTAAGTCAAAAAAAAGACTATACTCACCAAATCTGTTTGACTATTACTTGTAAAAAAAAAAATGTTCCTAAAAAAAATAATTGCAATCCAACAAAACAGAATGGAAATAAGTGTTCACAGTTGATAATTCTAAGTGAATCAAAGTTACATGAAGCATGTGCAATCAAATACATAAAGCCAGATGACTGCAGCATAAGAATGGTAAGAAAAGCAGTTTATTTGTGTGTGTGTGTGTGTGTGTTCGTGTGCGCATGAGCGTGTGTGCGCACACATGTGCAAACACACAGGTTTGTGTGTTTACATAAGATGAGGCATGTGTCTGTGTTCGAGTGTGTGTTTGCTCCTCAGTGTGTGTATATTCATAAGTAGTAGAGAGATAAACTCTTACAGGATATCATCCCCATTTGCAATTATCATACATATCCTCATAACTGTCAATAACATACAAACTAAGTAGGGTTTGAAACAGTCACAGGTCCTGCTTTAAAATTTCTCACTTCCAGCACTGAAGCATTCAGTCATCTCTAATTTCTTTTTGAAACAAATACAGACAGACAAAAACATACCTAAATACATATACAAACAAAACCCTCTTTGTCTCTGTGTCAGTCAGTCATTCTGTCCCTCTCTGTCTGTCTATCTGTGTGTCTGTCTGTGCGTCTGTCTGTCTGTGTGTTTGTGTGTCTGTGTCTTTGTATCTGTTTGTCTGTTTGTCTCTGTCTGTCTCTCTCTCTCTCCTCTGTTTAACATATATCACAGTACATACCTTGATACTTTCCTAGTAAGAGGAGGACAGCACACAAGCCAACACCCGCCACATAGATGATCATGAACTAAAGTAGATATTACTGACATTACAGGAAAGTCTAACACAGAACAATATAATTTTCACATCTGTTTACTGTTTGTGAGATATAATCTGCAAAACCTAACAGGAGTGTGAATGACCAAAAGCTACAGATAATTTGAGCATGTAAACTTCACTATAATATTTTTCAGTGAATACTATGACCTTAGAACACTTCTATTTAGATTTTTGGTAATGCATAAAAAACATTTCTCAAGATGACTTATTCTCATGTCATTCTGGAACAAGTTAATACCAAATAAAATTGCTCAGAGGTCAAGATGATTGAATGAATAAAGTGGTTCCATAAAGGCTAAGAGAAATGATGTATATTTCCTATGAAAGCAGCAAGAATCCTGGTCAAAGGGGGCAAAGTTCATTCAAAATCATTAGCTATAGAACTCTAATCAAGGGAATAAATCCAAAAATATATTTCACATTGTCTATTCCTATCATAAAAAAATACCATCAAATTAAATACATACAGAGACGGCTCGCTCTACTTTCATACAGCTACCATATCATCGCGAGAAAAGAGCTCACCGCATCGTGAAGATTAATTGTAAGCATGATGGTACCAATGCGAGATGGATGTGGCTGAGCAAAGCCAGCTCCCTCTGTACCAATCCTTAGCAGTGTTTTACTTCCTGAAGTATTCCCAATCAAAATCTGCAATATACAGATGTCATCATTCTTTTAATAATATAATCACACATACTTACTCCAACCTGTGATCAAATAATTACCTTATATTAAGTTGATAAATATCTTAATAAATAAAAATACTAGTTTATTGTTTGCTAACCTCAGTCATTTCACAGCCAATATGTTCCTAAGACTGAGGCTTTAAGTGACAAACAGGCAAAAATATCTGGAGATTCTATTATCTCCACAATTAGTTTTTTTCATTTCTTTCAGTATCATTTACTCGCCAAAGGCAAGGATTTACTGCAAATACAAAATAAGAATTTCCATCATATATGACATACCCCACCATCACCACTATTTCCCTACTTCCTTTGTACCCCTTTGTCTGAACCAATCACATGAGTGGCTCCTAGCACTGTTCTCGCCTCCTTTGTAGGTGAATGATTCTGATAAGTATAAAATAAATTAGCCTTGTATGTACAGTATGTATGTTTCTATACTAAACAAATATACTTTTGTAATCCCTTCCCTTAGGATCCCTCTTACAACATATTATATTTTACACATTAATCTCATGGTTTACTATCATCTTTTCACTATCTATAGCAATGCACAAGGTATAAATATACTGGTGTGTAAATTCAAGCAATAGAAAAACCAATGATCAAAACTGCCATTAGAGAAAGATAAAAGTTTGATGCCTTCCGTAGCTGGGCAGCAACTTTTTGCCCCCCACAAATCCAAAATTTGCAGAGACAACTGAATACCAGGATAAATATCTGAACTCCAAAAGAGCAACGCTTTCAAAATTCATATGCAGAAGGAATGAACAAAAATATGTTTAAATTACAATCTCAAACTAAGAGCATACCTGCAAATTCTTCACAAAATTCTCCTCTGTGACCTGAGGTTCCCATTGGTCAGTATGCACATCTACTACTGCAGTGTATAGTGGTCCATGGCTGTGCTTACAGGATATCCAGTGGCCCAAGTTGTCATCAATGCGCACTGATACAGCTGAGACCTCCTCATTAGAGAAGACGAGAAGCCTGTAAAATTAACAAACATGGTTATTCTTTTTTTTTTCTTCTTCTTATGTAAAACTTCGCTTTTTTTAGATTCATTATTGTAGAACTTTTGTTGAAGTGAAAACCACTTCCATGAAAATATAGCACTGTTAAAATGGCTTTACTTTCCATTTTCCAAGCACTGAACTTCAAATTTTAAGAATCTAAATTGCTGGACATGCTGCTTGTCATATGATATCAGTTTCCTGCTATCATTACAGTCATTGGAGGTGTTGGTTAAGTCCTAGCATATAAAATCAGATGATATCTTGATTGAGTATATTTGCTGAGCCATATTCACCAAGAATAAAGTTGGACTTACCAGATCAAAAATCATAAAATTAAAACACTTCAAAGCTTTTCTGATCCAATATACAGGTTCTGAATACGACAATGAGGGATACTGTGCATATTGCAAACTAAATGACAACAGAGAAAATGTCTAAACTGGTTTTGTACTGTAATGACCTGTTATGATACCTACTTCTACCTTACTATACAAACATGCATTTCTGTGTATTGTTTATATATGAGAAGAATTTTTAGGTTCTAGGGGAAAAAATAACAACATTAAGAAAAAGGGTGAAGAGCATGGATATTTATAAATCTCAAGACAGAGGTCAAGATGAACAACCATAAACTTGAGGTTTTCCAATTCAATAAACCTAATGGTTTCTGCAGAGCAATATAGAAAAAGTAAAAAAAAATCAATCCATAAATGTCTGTGTGAGAAGGATGGGGGCAATCAATCTACACTAGGAAAAAATAACAGCTAAACAAATCTTTCAACTTCGACAAGATTACATAGCTGAATCTGGCAAGTTCACATGAGCATAGTTCTTACCTTACAATGTACCTGATGGAGGACACCCCTTTTGGATAACAGCTAACATTTGATACAAGCACAACGGGCCAGGATGAGTGGTTAACGTCAAGCCAGGTTACTCTGCCATTATCAACAGACAGAATCCGGTACCTGGGTTTTTTGAAGTTGAAATTGTCATTTCTGTGCATTAATTTCTTTGTTATACAAGCCACACCATCACAAGATCAGTTATTAATGAAACAAACATTCTAACTACAAAACATACTTCATTATTGAACTTCCATTTAATTCAGTGCAAAAATTCCAAACTACATCAAACATACATTAACAGAAAGATACACCAATCAAATGATAAACTGGTACTGTAGACAGGACAATCAAAATAAATGCATTTCCAAAATCGTTAATCTACACACCAACTTAAACCTCGTGTAACTATCAAAAAGAGTTACTTTTTACTCTCCCAAAAAAAACATAAAAAGAAAGATTCTGGCTTTTGAGAAATTGGCCATAAAAAGTTCTCAAAACATTGAAGCACAAAAGACATTGCACATTCTCATGGAATAAAAAAAGCAAACATGAAAAAAAAAAAAATCAAAATGACAAATACAAAAAATATATTTGTATCAAAATATAAACAGAAAGACCAAAGCAAGCACACACACAAACCTATGATGATGAGCCCAATCTGCAAGCTCCAGTTCCATAAGGCCGATAGGATGCTTAGTCCACATAGGATCTGCCAGACTGAAGCCAGTGTGGAGGTGGCCACACAGATAGGCCGTTCCTCCCGACAACAGCCTCCTCAGGTCCCTTGATGTGATGATGGTGCTCGTTGGGTAGTGGCCATAGAACAGGACAATGTCTCCCCTTGTGTACGCATCTAATTGATGGGTTGGCCAAATAACAGAAAAATTCTGAGATCTGTAAAGCTTTCATTCACAAGCCATTTGTTAGCTAAACTAATGTCTTTTTATGTTTAGCTACCATCAAAGGAGAGAGAAGGAAAGAAAAGAAGAGAAAGAGCAGACAGCAAGGGTAGATGGGGAAAGGAAAGGTGAGGGAAGAGGGACAGAGAAGAAAGCTGACAATCATTACAACCACCAAACAAAAAATTGTCATTAAAAGAATTCTAAGCAGCAGGAACAACCTTCCAAAGGAATATAACACAAAAATTAGGGATGAATCTACTGTCAAAAACAAACACTGGCAAGTACAACCTAAACTATGACATATCCTGCTTTGATTTGGGGTACATTCCAGTTGGGGTTAGGCTAAAATAACGGCACTTTATAACACTTGGATCTTCCTGTGTGGCTGCAGCAGGCTATCCACAGACTGTACCAGTGGCTCTACTTCCGCTAAAGGATGAAATTTGCTTTTTTTGAGAATGGAAGAGAGAGAGAGAGAGAGAGAGAGAGAGAGAGAGA